CTCCCTTCCTTCTCCTTCCTTCCTTCCTCCTTCATTCCTTCCTTCCTTCACAGTGTAAGCCATCTACTCCTCTAGTTAGACTAGAGTGAACAGATTGGCACAACTTTACGTCATGCATTCCTGTTTAGTTTTGTGTCTGCTGTCTGTATTGTAGATTTACTAAAAGCCCAACAGGGAAAGCTGACCCTCAACCTTGTGATTTTGGCCTGACCCGGCCTGAATTTTGGATCAGGTCCAGGTCGGTTCTACTGATTTTCTGTCCTGACATCCTTCCAGCATGTTTCATTATATTCACGGAGAACTTTGCATTCATTTGAACACATGCCGTGGAACAGGATGTTTTCATCATAGGAACCTCTGTTAATAATTTGAAAAAAAACAAAACAAAAAAACAACAAAAGAAAACAAAGACCATTTCCAGAGGCAAAATCAGGCCGTTTGAATACAACATGTATATTAGTTTTTCAATAATTTGAACAATTTCACTTCAAGGGAGAACTTCTGTTCAGTCGCAGCTCAGCGTTACGAGCTATGCTGTGCCATTATCTCAGTTTGCTTCGTCTTTTTAAGAAGTGCTGCTGCATGCGAATTGAGAGAAAAGCTTGAAGTTATCAAAAAACTACTTAAATAAGTACAGTCCTCTGAAAAGCAGAAAAAGAAAGGAGCGTGTATACATTCCCCGGCTGAAACCTCTGGGATTGATCTGGGATGTGTAGGAGGAACTCCCAGGCTTACTCAATATTTTGACTCAGCATATGGACGCTTCATGGCTGTGTGGTTTTATTGAGAGAGCATTTGTTTGTTTGCTTCTCTCTTCGTGTGCCAGGAGGCAAGAGAACAAATAGTCTTGATAGAGTACGCTGCTGTTTTTGCAGGGAACGGCACAGGAGATGTGGATAAGTGAGTCTGAATGCATGACATCTATTTGGTTGACCCCAAACAACAGAATTAATTTAGTACATTTAATATCCCCTAATGTTTATCATTGACTGAATTTTAAGATTTCTAATCCTGTATTTAGCTAAAACAGTTAGTTTTATTTTGTTTATTTATTTTTTTGACAAATACATCCAGTACCTTGCAAGAGTATTTATAGCCTTCGTACAAGTTAGTTGCAATATTTACTGAGCTTTTACTCTGTAACAAACTGTTACTTTATTACAGAGGCACTGCTTTTCTTTTTTTGGACATTTATTATTGCTGGCAGTATTATTATTTTTTTTAACTTTTGGACATTTATTATGACACGTAGCCATAGCAACGAGGCGCTATACAACCCGGAGCAACTGATTAACGTTGCAAAAGCTCAAATAATACCTCAACTGCTCAAACAAATCCCAGATTAGCAGAGAAGGAGGCGGCATGGATGGAGAGCAGGAGCAAAGAGGGAGAGAAGGAGGAATTTAAAACCATCTCCTCCAACAATCGTGAGATCTTTGTCAAACATGTTGGCGAACGAAGAACGAGCCAAAGTAGCCTCTGTGACACGGAGGCAGGATTACGTCCCCGACTGCGATGTCTTTCTGCTGGGCTTCCTGACAGACTCAAAGAGGAGCGGCAAAAGAAAAGAAGAAGAAGTGAAGGTGCCGTCTGTAACATGTCCATCTGTTGTCTCTGTGACCCGGATATCTAACTCTTAGCATTTAGCTTAGCTAGTGATCATAGTGTCCTCTGACATCACCATGAATGTGATGTCATCAGTTCAGTAGTCGCTATGCTGCAGACACAACACTCCTATGTACTTGTGGCAATATGTAATGATTTTAAGAACGCCTTGCTGTCTGTTACATTTCCAAAATTGGATTTGTTTTATACAAACGTCAAAGATTCACACATCTTCAAAGAGAGACCTAATCTGTTAATTTAGTTTTTTTTTTCTGCTCAGAATATAAATGTCATGGTCACAACACATCTGTAATGAAGAAAACTCCAAGAAGGTGGTCAGAGGAAGCTGAAGAAGGCCGACAGGGCTGCTTAGAGCTGCTTCACCAGATAAGCAATGTCATGACTGAGTGTGCGACTGTTTTGGGACAACATCGTCCCCGCCAGAGCAGCGACAAACACTGGATCACCAGTGACTCAAAGAAACTACTAGACAAGGAAAAAAAGCCTTCAGTCGGGGAGACAGGAAATTATTCAGAAGCAACTAAAAGTCAAGAACAGAGTGTGAGTGCTTTGATTGGTCAGTAAGATGCTATATATACCATTTGTTTTAACGCTGGGATTTAACTGTACTCTGGGTTTACTAATCAGAAGGTCATTTCTTGCAACAGATTTATCAGTATCAGAGTAAAGGAGCCTGAATTCACATGCATTAAATGCTTTTAAAAGTTATTTGTAAACTATCTGAAAACAACAGATGATTGTTCTGACACGTAATGCATTGTAATGCCTGCACACTCATTCATTAGTGCATGTGTGAGTGAAGTTTATACTTCAGTTCCACTTTAGAAGAACGAGGTACGACGATGACAGACGACAACAACAAAAACCAGACACAATGAAGTCTGGTTTTTGACAAGTGAATAAATATATCACACTCTTATTGAGTCAGGAGAAAGAAATAGATTGAAACACACAGTGATCTTTTTTTTATCTAAATGATGCAAACCACTTTTAAGCAACCTGCACTTGTAAACCTTAAAGCTTTTAACATGGTGTACAGACATTAATGAGAATGTTGTCAGGAAATGAGTAAAAGCCAGAGTACTTACAACAGGACCGGGTGGACCTTGGGGTCCCTCTCCGCCCTTCAGACCAGCTGGGCCCTGAAACGAAGAGAGAAACAAAACTGACCGTTACAATCTCCACATCTGCCAGTAATAACGCTACAATCTCCATGGTGGATCTCAGCACAGGTTTCATTAAATGCTCCAACTGTCTGCCTCCGTTTGCTGGTTTGTCACTTTATCCCAAAATGAGTGAGCGCCGAAGAAAATTCAGAGCTTCTCACCCTCCACGTTCTGAGCCATGAATTACGATTGACATTTTCATTCTGGCAGAAACACGGGCTCGAATAGAAAGTCCAAAAAAAGTAGTAAGGAGGTTGAAAATCATCATCATCATCATAAAACCCACTTTATGGAGTTGGCTTGAACAGCTTCATCATATAAAGAGCATGTTTGAAATCGGTTTGGTGCTTTAACACATAATTGAGTCCGGCTGAGAATCAGAAAAACTACCTCAACTTTCACAAATGTTGTTTGGCTTAGTTATTTACTTTATTTTAATTTTTTTACACGTGTTTGTAAAACTTAAAAAAAGGGAGAGGAGACTTCCTCCTCCTAAAACAAAGATCGAGGATTGGCACATGAGGATATTACTGGAGCTCTTTCTCATTGCTTTCTTCAAAATCTATTAGCATTAGAAAAATGAGATAGGGGCTGGATGGGCGGTTGCCCAGGGTGGTAATGGAAATGGGGGATAGAGATGATTTATTAATTTTTATTGGTTTGCGTGTGGCAAAAGAACCACCACCCTTTGTTGTTGTATTTGTTAGTTAATTCAATTTGTCCAATTTGTCCAAGTTGTTGGAGCTGCATATAAATGAGTCTCAATCGTGGACTCTTGGGACTAAAGTATGAAGAAACTTAATCAAATGAAGTTGCCTTACTATTAAAATTTTATTCATAAAATTAGTCTCATTTGACTAAAGTTCTAATTTTCTTATCAGATTGTGTTGATTTTACTTGAACAGAAACAAAATGATAAGTTTATAGGTGTGAAGTTGGATATGAAGGACTTTTGAAAAGTCCAAGAAAATTTGAATTATTTTTTAAAATTCAAACAAGTGTACTTTCCTCTGAAGGTAAATACACATGATATGTTTTATAAATGTCCTTCTCTGGGCAGTAACTAGTTACATTTACTCAATTACTATTACTTGAGTGACTTTTAGGGATTAAAAAATTACTTTTAGGGAGTACACTGTAGTTTTTTCTTTTACTTGAGTAATTTTACTATGAAGTGTTGCTACTCTTATTTGAGTAAAAATTTCTATCTACCCACAGAATAAACAAATATGTTTTAACCTAAAATTCAACTAAGAGTTTCATAAGTTTTATATTGTAAGAAACTGATTTGGAAAAAAAATATTTTCCCTGATTTTTTTTTGGTCCTTAAATAACCAAAACCTCCACTTAACTTTACATTTTAGTCCATCTGATGATGTCAATTTTAAATATTAAACGATTGATAATGTGATCAGTTACTCAGTACTCGATTAGACTTTCTACCAAATACCTTTCTTACTGTTGCGTCAGTAATTTCCACTTCTTACTTTTCCTTGAGTAAAAATATGTTGAAGTATTGCTGCTCTCACTTGAGTACTAGTTTTGGGTTGCTCTTCCCATTTCTGCTCTCTGGATGAAGAAAAAGTTCAGAAGTCATCCAAATGTTGAACAGCCGTACTGTAAGTGAGAGTAAACAATTCAAATCCATATTCCAGCCTCTGTGGTTGTGTGGCAAGAAAATAAAACATTGCACAGAGTGTGCTTTATTATATATATCTATCAAGGTCCAACATGTGTTTGCATGCATGCACGAGTGTTTGTATGTGTGTGCAACTCCCCAGTGAGCTCCAGAGCAGCACAAGGCAGTATGGGTGATGAGTTTCTGCAGACGGTGGCTGCGTGTTGGGCTAAATTACGATGGCAGGAAACAATCAGGCATGTCCTGCCGAGTTCAGATGACCTTGAGGAAATGCTTTGTTTCCCCGGCAGTGTATCTGTCCCGCGCCACTCCAGTCTAATTGCCAACATTTTTGACTTAATTATTTATTTACTAAATAATGCATGCGGCAACAAAATGCCGCGCCTTCCAAAGCGCTGGCACTGACGAATGATGAAACAATAGACGTCCTTGAGTTAAACTGGGGAAAAGACTTTCAAAATAAGTCCCTAACAAATCCCAAATTCTCTAAAAAAAAAAAAAAAGGAGGCCCATTATCCACTGCAGCGGTCCAAGCCGTGGATTCTGCGGCGGTGGAGCAGCGCAGGAGCAGCGCCTGTTCATTTGTTAGATGTCACTTCGGATTTCCTCCCACCGGATTGATTGCTGCGAGTGCATTCCAGGGCTGCTGCCTCTAATGAAGTGAACAGCTCCAGATAGGTGCGGGTTCATTTGTTATGTAGCTGTGGTCTATCACTTTCTACCAGCAGGCGCATGTGGAGAAAAACTGTGACGGATAGCTGCGGGTGAAGTACCCGGTTCTTACCGTGGCACCGGGTAGACCTCTCTCTCCGGGGAAGCCACGAAGGCCCGGCGGACCGTCTTTACCAGGGGAGCCTTGTGGTCCAGGATCACCCTGCATACACAGAAATTGTTTTTTTTAATTATTATTATTGTTCGCAGTGTCAGAAAATCAGCTGAAATATGTCAAAAACGACTGGATGAACATTCCAGACTTAAATTGTGTTTTATAATGTCTTAATAAGAGAAAAGGAATCAAAGTTTAAATGTTTTTTGCACATGAACGACAACTGTGAGCTATTATTAAGACAATGTCTGACAAAAGCTTCACAGAATCACTATCTGAAGAAAATTCCTTCAGCCACTTGTTTGGTTGTAAACAGTTGCTGCTTTTGATGACGTGGGTTTCTGCCCAGGGCGGCACAGATTGGGAGGGCGTAACAAAAAAATTAGCTGCCAGTTGTAGACAGAAGGAGTTTTTCATTTCATATCTGCATTAAGTGCTCACCATGGTGCAGAGGACTATTTTTTATTTTCTTAAACAGTTGAGAGCGTCTTTGATCGTATCAGCTTCAGACGTCGACATACTTCGACTGGTGAAGATTCACAATAGGGAAATATGTAAAGTACAAATTAAATTTTTTTATGTTTTTATTGAATTAGTTTCAAAAGTTTATTTCTTTTTTGTTGCTGCAGCGGACTTTGGCATGGAGTCGACCTTAAAGTGGCTGGTGACTCGTATGTGAGATCACAGTTTGTTTGGTTTTTGTTTTTCAACTGAGTCTCCAGAATAAAATAGGTAAAATTTGTGCAAAACAACAAACCCAGGAAGTGGTCACTAATCATCAAAAAATAAATAAATAAATCTGTGTTGCGTTTGCCATTTCCTTTTTTACTGAACTAGATTCACAAAGCAAATTACACTAAATACATGTAGACCGGTCCACCAATGGGAGCAATTTGCATCGATTTTTATCAGGTCATAATTATTCTTATATTAACATTTTTAACCAAACTTCAAGACGAACATTTAACTTTAAGGAATAATGTCAGCTGAATGACGACTGATTCAGAAAAACCACACATTATTAAGGTTATACCTTTAGGAGAGAATAAAAGAAGTTGTCAGTTTATACCGCATTCACTCGCAATGAAATCAGAAAAACAACAAAAAAGGTGAAACGAGTTACATCTATTACCATTATAAATTATTCAATGGATCCAATCATAAGGCTTACATTTGGTATTCTGCATAATTTCATATGGTTATTTTGAAAAGCTCATTTTAATCTAAAAACAAGTCTCATCGGAACGCATATCCAAACGTACCCGATGTACATTTTTCACGTTTTTCGTTTCCAGTAGTGAATTACTGTCGATATTATCTTTATTTATTTTGCATCTGATGCGTTTGAACTCAATTCTACTAACAAAAATAATCAAGTTCACAAAGATTCTATATCATGTCCTCCATGTCTAAACACTGACTGTGCATCAACTAATGGCTTTGTACTTTCCAGCAGGAATAGAGGCGTACGTGTTTCAAAAGCACCAGGCAAACCCTAATGGCCCATTAGTGGCATTTACCTGAAGCGTGTATTATTTTCTATTCATCAGCGCTGCAGCAGCACAGTCAATGAAGAGGCATTACCAAATCTATCAGTGTTTTCACACAAACAGCCACGGTGTGAACATTCGGTCAATGAACATATAGAGGAAAAGATTTGGGCTGAAATGAAAACTCTTTAACGCAATAAAGTATAAATATATATATAAAAAGGAAACAATTTCTTTCTCTACTGTTCATACATTCTCAATTAAAGTTTTTATTTTAACACCTCTCTGGTATTTTGTTCCAAAGGGGGAAAAAGCGCCAAAAAACTACTGCTTTTCTAAAGCAATGATATTTGAATGAAGTGGTGGAAAAAACTTCACCAAACTGCCTGTGTGTGTGTGTGTGTGTTTTGACTTTTATCTGCACACTGTGAAGCCCAGACCAGCAGGCCTGAGAGGTTTTAGATGATTTGGTCTCTGCTGCCAAGGCCTCGCCAAAGTGACACTGGCATACTGATGCACAGGTTTGAGCGAGGTGGGAGGGAAGCGGGGCGGCGAGTGGCTCGGAGTTTGGATTGAGCCGACAGACTCGATTAAGCTGTCCGCTCGGAGGAGACGGGGTGAAAATAAAAAAAAAGGAGCTCAGAGGGAGGCGGGCGGGTGGGCGGGGCCACGCTGGAGGATCCTGACAATGAGGGGCTGGTCTCAGGTCTCTGGCTCAACTTTACAAAAAAAAAGAAAAAAAGTGTTCTCCGCTGCTAATGGGCTCTTCTAAATCGCCAGACTGGGAACAACAGAGAGGGAATGGAAAGATCTGAGCTGCTTGCTGCTTGAGCGGAAAGGAAAAGTGAGAATCTTGCATTTGATTTTGTCCGAATCTCTTTCTAGAGACGATACTCCAAAACACCCAGTTGTCCATTGAGTGTTCGTGAGCCTAAGAGGTCATAAGTCTTTGGAAGTGTTCATAACATCTAAACTCAGTCATAGACTGAACAGTTTTCATTTTATTTGTCTGATCTCCTATGAAACACCAGCCTGGCATCATCTAATATGAATCTCCAAATGTTCAGGCATCTTCCTTACATAGCTTTCATATTTATTGTTTGCGTATCTATAGTTTTAGTATTTTATGCCACAACCATACCTTGGCTCCCTCCTTGCCAGCAGCACCAGGAAGACCCTGCTCTCCAGGTGGGCCTGGGGGTCCAGGATGGCCTCGCTCACCAACAGGACCGGTCTCTCCAGTGGGTCCCTTAGATGATCACATGTTTAGATCATGACATTGGTCAAATTTTCTGATAACAAATAAATCTGTGGTTTGAAAATCTTTCTTACCTGAGGCCCGACAACACCTCCTGGTCCTGGTGGGCCAGTTTTTCCTTGGAAACCCTGAAATCAAAATGGATGTTGGTTTAATACGCTGTATATTTGTTATACATTTAATATTGGCTTCTTAATTTTTGAAAACAACAACTCAATAGTGATTCAAATCTGCAAATAGCATAAGCAGTTTTTATTTCAAAACGTAAAAACAGAAAAATTTGTAATTCAGCCAACTCGATTTTAAGCAATAAAACATGAAATATCTAACAAGAGATGAAATGTTAACGTCATGCATGTTGGAAATAAGTAGATAAACTATTTAGACCTAAAAACCAATACATATGAACTAGATCAACTAAATGAGTTGAATTAGACCAGGATCACCTCCCTTAATCTGACATAAAGATGCATCAAAGTTTTGAAAAGTACAGTATTTCCATTATATGAAAAGAATCAAGATTAAATGACAAAATACACTAAGACTGAGTTTCCTGAACTGACTCCAAACTATTTTTAAATATGTTAAAATTATCAGCTTAATGTAGATGAAAACTGTGTTTTTTCTTGTGTAGGATTTGATGTTTTGCAATCAAAACAAAAAGCAAAACTGATGACAGAACATGTTTATGTTTCAATGTTAGATACATTATATTGGAGATCCTGGTTTTCTTTTTTCCCCTCCATAAGGATCTCAACTGATTTGGAAAAAAACTCTGAAATCAGTTCAACATTCAAGATTTTTCAGGATTCAGAGGGGTTTTTGTTCTCTCTGGGTTGTTGAAAGCTAGATATTAAAAAATGTGGCTGCGAAATTAGCAAAGCAACGTGGAGATTTACTGAATAAACGTGATGTATCATACATGCAGCTTATGGAGTTCAGACTGACAGTAAAATCGTAAAAAAGGTGATAAAAGAGAAGAAAATTACACTTGACTAGACACTGAAAAAGACAAGAGTGCCTCTCAGGAGCAAAATGCATCAGCATTCGGGTCTAAACTCCACAACATTCCCAGTAATTGGGCAGAAATGGGCAATTTTGCTCATTCAGGTTCGCATTTTAATGGCGTGACCACACAGTTAACTCAGGTCTTTCGCTAATTTCAAAGACCCTTGAAAACGTACTGTGTTAAACAACCTCTTGCTAGGTAAATTTTTCCAAAAATGATCTCCTTTTGCTTGCTTTACTTTCTTTTCATAGTATTCTGATGTCTCCGAAACTTCTGGAGATTTTAAGCCATAAGGAAAACGCTACAACAATAAAAACTCTGCTCAGGTGATAATTATGTTGCATATCTACAGGAAACCTTTCAAATCCAACGGGTTTTCAGGAGCGGCGGCCCCCCGAGAGCGCCGTGTAGTCTGGCGTCCCTAATTGATCTCAGAATCAAAGCAAAGGTCTGATCTCCTCCACGTCCCTCGAGTCGCATCTCAGGTGCTCTACAAAGAAGAAACCCTCCACTTCCTAATTAGGTGACTTCCTGAGGCACAGGATTAAATTTCACAGCGTCAGAGGAGCTGAACACAAACCTTTGCTTAGCTTTTCAGATTTTTATAAAAAAAATAAAATAAATTAACTAAATGTGATGTGTCATTTTTGCTTCTGATTGACAATTATGCTCTAGTTTGTGTTGCCCTGTCACACAAAATACCAAAAAAAAGAAAACGGAAAAAAGAAAAATCACCTTTAGGTTTGTGTTCGTAACGTGACAGAAGTTTCTCTACTGAACAGGCAGTCTATCGTCAACACTAGTTGCGTTTCCATTGACCATATAATAATTGCACAAGTTGACATTTCGAAAATGAATTTAGCAATTTCCCAAAGAAAGAAAAAGAAAAAGTTTTGGGGGCAGGATGAGGTGGGGTTTTGGTTTATTTTGCAAAAGTGCAATGGGAATGCTTTTCTCCGCATCACACGACTCACAGGACCAAGAACTGGATGTTGCCTCTGGCGCAAATCACGAAGAAGACGACGATGACAGGAAGTAGTGAGGGGATGATGGCTTGGCATCATTTTTACTGACTTATTGTGTGAACAAACGTATTCATGTGTGATTCTAATTGCCTTTCTTCTTTAATGGAAACACCGCAACTGGGAAATTGTGTTTTTTTTTCTACGATAAGCGCTGACATTCTCACACACATGGCCTTAGCAAACAGGATTCCACCAGTAAACACTTTAAAGATCCGCTTTGCTCTGAATCTCTGAGAATGACGAGGCTAAAGTGAAGTCGCTTAACTGTACTAACAGCTTCGAGCTCACACCGACTTCTTCATTTTGACTTTCACCTGACTTTTCCAGCTTGATGCGATCGCCCAGTCCCTCGGTTCTCAAATCCATAAGCAATTTTCAGAGGATAAGTTGATTTGAAACTTATCATCCTAAAACCAGAGAAAGATTTAGATCCGGGCGCTCAGGAAGCCAATCCCAGCTGACGCGCGGTGAGTCCCCGGGCTTATTGATCACAATACTTTGTCATTCAGGGTGATGTATTATTCAATGAAGCGCCTCCAGGTCAACGGCGTCGCAGAGGAGACGCGGGCATTGACGCTTGATTTGCACTTCCTGAAATCCGGATTGTTTTGCTCGGATCGGGCGTCTTTATTGCCGTGATCCATTTTCATATTGGATGCTCGTGTCGCCTGTTCGCCGGGACGTAAATCTGCAGCCCTTAACGCCGCTTAGGAGTCAATCATTACGGCTCGAGGCGCGGCGGGCGGAGGGAAGAGCTCGCTTGTTGTGCGCCCCGTTATCTACAGGGAAGGGGACAGGTGGAAGCGGAAGCTCTAATAACGGGGTTGACGATCCGTCAGGCCCGCAGTGAAATTTATCGTCCTCAGAGACTCGTCGAGCAAAGGTTCACTGACGCATACTAAGTGCAGGGATCGAAGATGAGAGCAGGGGGAATGCAGCAATTGCAAGATGGGATCGAATCAGGTTTTTTTTTTTTCTTCCTTTCCAGTGGGGTAATTCTTATACAGTAGTCCTTGGGACATTCCTGATGAGTCAGTGCAGCTTTACTTGAGATTTAGTAAAGATATTAGTCATTAGGGGCAAACAGGGACTGCTGGAGGAAGCTGCAGCGAATCCATGTTAAACAGTGCAGCAGTTTTCAGGTTACTTTTATCTTAAGGATGGGAGTTCTGCTAAGCAATACACAGCATCAACATATATATATTTGTAAGCGAGCCCTGTTTATGAGTAAAAAAAACTCTTCTGATGTATTCACACAATTTCACATGAAATAATTACAGTACACTGCAAAAAAACTAAAAATCGTATTCAGTATTTCCGGTCTAGTTTCCAGTGCAAATATCTTGATACATTTGAAAAGACAAAACTAACTTACATGCAACTTTTCAGCAAGACTCCAGAGTTTGTTTTAAGGCAATATTTCATTAATATTAATAAGAAAACAATAACTAGATCCACTGACAGATTATTTCCAATGTTTTGAGTGAAACAATCTGCCAGTCAAACTAGTACTTTATCATCGATATTAAGGGTATATTTATTTAAAAGGAGCTACTACATCTTGTCGAAAAGTATTTTTATTTATTTTTGTCTTACTCCAGGTGTAATAATAATATATTTGCTCTTAAAACGAGACCAAAAATACTTGATAGGATTTTGTGTATTTGCAGAGTAGAAACTCGTCTAACGGTGAATTCTGGGGATATTTTTACCTCTTATTTGGATGTGGTAGAAAGATAAACTTTTTTTTTTTATTGTTTCCATAACTGGGTCAAATCTAGAAAAGTAGACATTTTTTTTGTCACCAACAAACATCTACATTTGTTGAATGTCATGTTCTCTCATCTTTCCCATTTTGAAGAGCGGCTGAGAGAAATGCGCCTCTGATGCAGGTCAGCTTCTAATACCACCAAACAGAAAATCTACTAAAACCTACAAGCGTAAAGTACATAATGTTTCACAAAATAGTTGAAATGCCCCTTTAAGAACGTAAACTAACAAGGCCATGATGTTCAGATTCAGTTTCGCTCAAAAACAAAACATTTTTTGGGCAGAAAAATGTAAATCTTTGTTTTTTGAAAATGCTGTATCTCTTAAGTGTGTCCACCTTTTAACCAAGCTTTGTTGAATCACCTTTTGATTCGATTCCAACATTCAGTTTTCTTCCGTTCACATCTGCCATCATTTATAGTGAATCTGATGAACCTGAAGTAAAGTTCAGTTGTTTTTTTGTGATATTCCTGACATTTACTCATTTAGCTAAAAACACAGTTGCCACAGCATCCAACATAATGGTAAGGTACAAAGGTAGCAGTCAGGAGAAGGATACAACACTTACAATTAAATTTCACCTGCACTTACTTCATATAAATTACTAATGACGATTTTATTAAAATCTATTTTTTCTCAACATTCTTTTTCTCAAACTAAAATCAAAAACAACATAAATTTAAATGTTGACAGAAAATTACGCCGCTGCAATAAAAGATACATTTTTATAATTTGTTTTACCCTGGTGCCAATAAATGTGGAGAGTCCACATTTATAGAGAGCCTCCTTTGATAATAATAATAGTAAATGAATATTTCAACAATAAGCTCCATCATATACTGAATCAGATTTATTCTGCAGTTGAGATGTGTGAAAAAGAGAGTAAATCTTTGCTATAAATGCATTTAAAAATAATGAGATGATTCATATTTTGGACTGAGTGATTGAAAGATTCCCGTTCTGTTGTGCTCCTGTCCTCACCGTCTCTCCACGCTGTCCAGGGTGTCCGGGAAGCCCGTCCTTTCCAGGTGGTCCCTGTCGGAGAAAAATAAAAACACTAATAACTACAACATTATTGACCATCATATTATTTACAAATCAATACTGGTAGTACAAAAGCCTCTCTGCTCAGATTCTTATAACTATCTGTTTGCGGTTTCTATTTATTATTCAGAAAGGACAAATGTCTAGACTTCCCCAAGTTCTATAATTGTAAAAAAATAAATAAATTATCACTTGTTTCCTGTCTGAACTGAAATGTGAGAGAACCTTCATGAATACCACTCGAGGTTCTCCAAATAGTCCTCCGTCTGAATCAAGCCTAATGTGCGTTTGGAGTTTAAATAGTGATGGACGGTTAAGACTCAGAACCTGGAAGAGACGCTAATCCAGAGTTCTTGTCGGAGCCTCTCATGTGAAACCAGAGAAGAGTTACTCACAGGGGGGCCCTTTGGTCCAGGGAAGCCCACTGGCCCCTGAGGTCCTTGAGGTCCCTGCAACCAGCAAGAAGAAATCCTATTAAGCTGCAGAAACTACACGGTATTGAATATGGGTTGGTGCAAAAACGGGGAAAACTGCTGAGTGGATCATAACTAATCCAACCAAACATTTTGTAAAGCAAATAAAATCTGCACAATTAATCGACAAACATCTTTTCTCACTGATTTACGCTGCAGTGGAATCTCATTTGGTGTTTTTCTGAGTGATAAAATAATTTTTTTCTTTTGCTTTCTTTCATACAACGTATGAGAAACAACTACAAGTTACCTTGAATATGGTAGTATATTGTTTTCTGGCTTTGTACACTTAAACATATATATATAAAACCAGACTGTAATAAAGCTTACAAAAATAAAGTCATCTCATTTCCTCTTTCATCAAGCCCTGACATAGAAATATATTTGATAACGCCGAATTAGACCACATAATAGTTTACTTGCTAATAACAAAAAGACTCCATGTTACCTTCAGTGTTTCGCAAACGCAGCGTATCCCTTACATTTCTTCACATCTCGTCATGTTATAACCTCCAACTTTGACTATATTTCACATGACAGAATAGTGCATAGCTGTGAATTGTCCTCTCTACTCCGATGCTATTAAATGAGATCAGTTAATATTCAATCATAAGTAAAATTATTACTTAGTTTTTTCACGTCGTGTCTGATCTGTCATCAAAAACACCAAAGCAAAACACAGAAAGTTTAAAGTTATAATGTGACAAAATGCGAAAAAGATCAAGCAAACCGTTTTCTGCATCTCTTTAAATATCAAAAACATAACTGTAGTAAGCCTAATACTAAAAGATTAAAAAAAAAGAAATTGCTGCAATTCTTGCAATATATTTTTGTTTCTCTATATGCAAAAAAAAAAAAATCTAACATTTCCAAAGAGAACAGAGATTTTACAGAACGCTCGAGTCAAACAAAACAGACTCCGATCTTTGCGATCCAAAAATCGGCAAGAACGAGCTAAATATCGTCTTTGCCGTCGGCTCTGTTTTCATTCACTTGTTCTGTGGTTGTGCATACAAAAGATGTTTAAATAAACGTTTCCGTTTCAAGTCAAGAAGGTCTAAACGGTCAGGACTGAGGCGTTTATGACCTTCCGTTTTAGCCAAGTGAAATGTCACATCACTGAATCTCAGACTTGCCCTCCGCCCACAGAGGATCGCAGGGCTGAAAAGGTTGATGGCTGCCTATCAGCATCTGCAAATCGGAATCACCAGAAGTGTCACATCAAGCTGCGCTCTTTGGGAAGTTTTAAAGAGCTTCGGGGAAAAACATTTTTCTTTTAAATTAACAGAAGAAAAAGTCTTTTTTTTTTTTTTTGTTTTTAGAAACTAGGCTTTGAATGTTGAAGATTTGTTGGTTTACAAGCTAACTTTAAACAGGAGTAAATAAAAGATTACATTTTACTACACAAAGGGGTATCACAAGACTTGAGGTGAAATATTAGGAGATAATCCTGAGGAGAAATGCAATTCACCTCGTTCACCAACAACAATAGCTACCAATTTGACTCTTCTAAACGAAGGCGCTTTCACAGAGTAAAAAAGACCTTCAGCATTTTGGTCTCTGGCCTGCGTGAGTTTGAATTCATTCTAGCTTGCAGAGTTTTTAAGAACGACTCCTTCTCCTCTCTGTCTCCGCACTAAAAATGCAAATGCGGACACAAACGAAGCATGTGCTGCAGCTGATTTATCGTCTAAAGCTGCTCCTTTGTGGCTTTTGTCTCCAGATTCATGTCGGAATGTCACATTTCCTCTGTTAAGGAGCGAAATCAAAGAGCGCCAGAACAACGCTGGAAATTCAAGAAGGAAAAAAAACATTCTCTGAAAGTTATAAAATGCGGCGCACCACTGCTGGGAGACTTATATTGTGCAGCAACTTTAACTTTCCTGCTGAGTTGGGTCACCCTGGGCTGAAATGTTTAGACTGGGAGCGTTTTCATTTCTTGGAGAAATACACTTTATTACAGCACTGCGAATACAACTGCTGGGATTTGGATTAAAGAAAATGTCAGGAAACAAACAAAAAAAATGGATGTATTAAGCGTAGAACATAAAGACCTGACCTCAGGGATCAATTTAATTGATTTAGTTAAATTCTTTATTATTTTAATAATATTTCTCATGGATATTAAATCTGTGAGAAATACCAAAAGGAAAAAAAAATAAATGTGCTACTGTAGTGTGCAACATATTCAAATTCATTTTTATTAAACGTTTTAAAATGAAAAACTTTCAGGAAAATCAATTAATTTTGCACCTGATCAGTAATGATTGGAACTTAAAAATCCAGAACCAGAAAACAAACCGTACGTGGGTTGATATCAAGGTGGTTTTTTTAGTTTCGAAAACTCAGTTTGCTTTCTTTCTGTCTATTTAAAAGGGGTCTTAAAAATGGGGTACAAAAGGTTTAAGAAAGTTCTGGAAAGAAACCCGGGACGTCGACACACTTGGTGCCCCAGCCAGCGCCACACACTCTGACCGGCGGCTTCACGGAGACGTTAAGGCAGGCAGACAGATGGCAGCCGCCACCATGTTGTAGGACTAAGACATCAGGTTAGCACTAAAATCAGACCAAATGATGAGAACAAACAGAGGAAAGCGCACCGGTAGCACAAAGCAGATGGCGCATCAGCCCCAGATGCCTCTGTACGGAGAAGCTAAACTAGTTTTCATTGGCTGATTGATTGATTTTGTAGTAAGTGTGTATTAATGCACGCTGAGACTTACTGCATTATTTTTGCATCATGGATTATACGGACACGAAACACACGTGTAGAGGACTTACTCTCTCGCCAGGCGGGCCAGGGGGGCCGTCGTTTCCTGCTGTTCCCTGAAACACACAGCACAGCATCACTGCGGCTCAATATGAACTTATTTCTGATGGGCTTCAGCTGGAGGATAAAATACTTCACAGAAGTTTTGGACTCCATGAAACAATCATGTTTTGTTGCGGCGGGTTTACCTTGGGACCGGGTTTGCCCGTTAGACCTCTGGCTCCTCGAGCACCACGAGGCCCCTAAAGAGAGGACGAGAAACGGTTGGTTAATATGATGTCTTTGCCGTTTTCAGATTGTTTGATGGTCGATAAATAAATCATCGAGGGACGAGGACATACCGTTGGACCTCTTTGTCCTCTGGGACCAGGTTTCCCAGCAATGCCCTGTTGGACAGCCAAAAGGAAACAGTTTTATAAGGTTTGTCTTTGTTCTGCGCTTTCTCCTGATATTTCCTAGACACGGATCGATATCATTACAGTGCTGCAGAGAAAACCTTGAGGATTTGCGCCACTGTCTGAAGCAAAAGTCTGGTTTTATTTCTTAACACAGACATTAAACAGAAATCAGTCATTGTCAGGGCATTGCATCGGATTCAAATAACTTTAACGCCAAAGGGAGTAGAAGTGGGATTTTTTCTTTTTTGTTTGTTTAATCAGTATGCTGTTTAAAAATGCCAACAATACGGTGGCTCACGTTGCAGGGAAGCGGTGTGTGGGTGGAGCTGCTGAGAGGACTGCAGAGTTTACAGACAAGAGCAAAGACAGTGAAATAAAATAAAATCATTCTATTCTACTTGTTTTCCTGTTTCTGCACGCCAAGTCAATTTTACATCAATGCCAAAAGGACACGCAGTGCCGTCAAAAGTTTCGAAAAATAATGAATTCGTTGTGCTGTTCAGATCTGGAGAGGAGTAGGAGAAGAAATCCTGCCTCATCTATTTTAACTACTAGCTGCTATTCATCAGAAAAATAAGCAACACAAGTCGTATGCCTCACTTTAGAATAAAATAAGCTAATAATGCTTCCACTGTTGTTTCTACAAAATGTGCAAAAGCAATTATCTGTGGCCGGGCTGCAGGTTGATTTGTTTATATGGAGTCAGTCCCCAAGGTTTCGACTAAAACACAAATATTTTGTAGCTTAGCCTAAGATTATTTGATGTATTTCTGCCGTTTTTGTGAAGAACACATAAAACCTTTTATTAGCTTTGCAGGCTATTAGAACCAAACTCATCAAAATGTAAGTTGGAGTCGGCATTTGGAGCGTTAACATCTTCGTACAGGATGTGAACTTTTGAGCTAAATTCCATCCATTATCTTCTCATTTCTGCTCTTATTTATTTATTTTTTTTTTTTTGCCAAGCGGTTTGCAGTTGGCTCTCTAGACATTATTTTCTAGATGTTTCCAGCCAATTAAAAAAGAATTTCAACAAGGAAATAATTCTTGCACCAAACTTCTGAGGTCCATGTTGATATTTCTGGTAGATTTGCAGCTGGTATTGATTTTTTAAAATTTTTTATGAAATGGTTGTTTTTTATTATTAGCAGCGGTTCTTCTTCTAAGAGTGTTGTCCAAGCGTCCAAGCAAGCTCTGCACTGGTGGCAACACAGCTCAATAAGAAACTGTCTTGATTCTAGACATCATTAAAGCCATATTCACTGTAGCTGAACATCCCACCATAAAGATTTTTTTCTTTTACCTGCTATATTCATAGTCGGGTCTTTTTTGTGCAACCGTTGCTGAATGCTGTTACCTCAGGGACAAAGCTAACACAATCACCAATGATGTAACGGTGTTCGTGTTTCTAATGTAATGACAACGTGCAGAAAGCAGACCACAGTCCTATAATGTTGCTATAATGTATCTGCTTGGTAAAAGTCTATAGAAACTCCTTAATAGATCACTTTGCACCATTTCTTATTCTTCACAGTTTGTAGCAATTGAAAACAGGAAATAAGCTCTGCTAACCCCTAAACCAGGGGTCCCCAAACTACGGCCCGCGGGCCGGATCCGGCCCGCCTCCACATTTGGTCCGGCCCCCTGAACAATACTAGAGAGCATTCAGATTTTTTGTTTATATTTATTGTATTTTCCAGTTTATATGTGGATTTTTCTTCAACCACCAGGGGGCTCTTTAGCAGGAACTGTGGGTGTTTGGATGTTTCTCTTTAGCAGGAAGTGTGTCCTGTAAACTGTGGGTGTTTTGTTTTGCATGGTGCATGGCTGCCATCTGTTGGACTTTTAGGGAACTGCTTGACTTTTATGTTATTTAATGATTGCGGTTGTTTGCTAGTGGTAGAGCAGATGAACACACGTCTCTGTTATGAACGCTGCATTCCAGGTTGAATTCTTTGAAGCAACGCCTGTAAGTAGCAACTTATACTTCATCAAAACGAGCCTTTATGTTAACATATGAGAAATTAATATGTTAAAGTTACATTCCGTCAATGGAATATATAC